ACGGATGTGCATCTTGCGGTACAAACTGACGTGAATCCCCATTTTTTCAAAAGCTAAGACTTTGAACATTGCTCATCAGAATGAGGTATGATTCAGCGAATTGCTATTCAATTTGCTATGACACCTGATTGAAACCAGCTCGGTATTGGATGTTCATACCGAGCAGCTGATACTATGTCAGTTCGGTTGGTGGAGGATGTTGAAGACCCAAGATCGATTGTAGCACTATTCAAAGTTCATATTTAAAAGAAAACTGTTGGCAAGAACATCTTTTGTAGTATCCGTTTTAATTTTTTTATAACTTGTGGAGCGCTATTCTCTGCTAAATGAGAAAGAGACACTTTAAAAAGGTTTCTTATCAATGATGTTCTTATGAATATGAGTTCGGAACACTGTTGTATCAATGGTTAAAAAATTAAGCCGATTTGCTGAAAGTATGACGAAGACATTCCTATTTTGCTTTGGCAAAGAAGTGCTCGTTGCAACACATTCTGAAAAAGTGGTTCGAATCTAGTATGCAGCGAATTTTTATTGTACTTTTAGTAAAAGTAAATGATAGCTTTTTTCAATTTTATTGGTTTTCGTTATCCCTATTCTGAAAATTCAAGCCGATCACATCCTCAGATAAGACCGCTTCAGGATAGCCCTATTTCAATCATAGATCGAGATCGTCGTGTTCTTGAATAGTCAATAGATGGAACACAACAAATTGATAATACTAGACATTCTAATTGCGACACATTTGATTGTATTATGAAACTCAATCCTATCATACGAGCTTCCAAATACTAGAAGGTCGTCTCATAATCGATGACCATCTTTGAAAGAACGGTGTGTTCGATATAATAAAAGATACCGTATCATTCATTAATTTCTTGTAAAGTCTGAACTTTAATTACTTAGTAAATTTATATAATAATATGTCTTGTTGTCAGAGTTCTTAGCTGAAAAACCTTAAAAGATTGACATTAACAACATTTTTTGGTTTTTAAAACTCATGAAAATAACTTCGCAAACTTTTGAAATCGTTTTTTTTTGAGGAATTCTTTCTACTAAAAATTTTCAAAAATACATGCAACACCACAGAAAATCCTATGGATACAGTTTTATGCCTGAATATGATAGAAAACCAGAGCTCTTCTATTGATGGAAGGATTTTATATGAACTTCTCTACATATATCTCATGATAAACAACAAAAAATGTTTTGAATTGGTTATCAGAGTCTTCTAAATATTGATTAGTTTTCGGTATCATTTTAAGCTAGATCAAAAGAAAGCATTTGATCCGTATGTTTCCAAGACATTGTTAAGATTGACAAAATCTGATTACTAAGAAAACATGTAATCTGATTCGAGAATAAGGAGATAAATATTATTATCTATATTTTATCAAACTAAGCCAATCAGATGACTGATATTCTTTGACGTTGATTAGCAATGATCTTAGTCACCCTTCTAAATGCAATATATGGAAGTAGAGCATACGATCTGTCATGCATTTTTTGTTTCGTCAGTTTTAGTTTTCTTACCGTGTTTTCATCAATAGGCATATAACGGCGAGGTTGAAACGTTTTAACAGCATCTGAACTAACAGGCATGGTACGACGATGTTTCTAACAAGTGAATGTAGAAAAAAAAACTCGATCTTGCTTTTTAAAATGGAAATTTGTTCTGTTTTAATTGATGGCGCACTGAATGAAGAAGGTGTGCTTCTCTTACTGCTTGTTGTCTGCAATGTTTTAATGGAAATACGTTGTTGTTGTTGTTGTTACTTTTGTTTGCTAATTGAATTTGAATGAAAAAGAAACCATCACAAATGCGCTAGAATGTAAGTGTATGCAGCATGGCTATTGCTGCACTGAAACATTTTTAGAGGCACTTCAAAATTTGGGAGCGTCTGGGTGTATCCATTAGAAGCTATGTCGCTACTAAGACAACAATCTTGAGAAATTTTTCAATATTCGATAACTATATTCAAGAGATAGATCACTAACATCGATTACATTGTAATCTTTTGGAGAGAGAGAAACCATAATATGGTTTCAAATCAATTTAAAAGAGTAACCATACGTGGGTAAGCGTCGACGTGGTTTGCAGTGCATTCTTTACTCATTCATTCATACTCACCTCCATCCACCCACACTCGCAACATTCATTAATAAAAAAGAGAGGGTGTGGGGTGTGGGGTGTGGGTGTGGATGTGTGGTGTGGGTGTGGGGTGTGGGTGTGGGTGTGAGTGTGGGTGTGGGTGTGGGTGGGATGTGGATGTGGGTGTGGGTGGGTGTGAATATCTTCTCAGCACAGACCGACATCCACACCCACACCCAAACCCCACACCCACCCACAGCCACAGCCACAGCTACATCCCACTCAGACCTACACCCATGCCGACACCCTCTCCTCAGCACCTTGGGAGCTAATTATGTAACATTCAAATCCTCTATCAGTTTACTCACTACGGTCGAGTATTTGAAACCTATGATATGGTGTAGTTGTTGAGAAAAATGTTTTTACGATCAATACCACACACTTGCTATTTTTCAAGTGACTCCTTTCTTATCTCTGTAGTATCATTAAGCTTTATGAGCTATAGATATCCTTTTGTTGCAATAATCTTATTTCGTTCGTCTTTTGCTTCTCGAGAATTTAATCGTTTTACGAACACTGCACATACTGATTGTGAAACATCTATGAATAAGAGTTGACAATAATGATAATTCGGAAGAGAAAATAACCTTACTTATTCAATCAAAATCATTCATATTAGGATAAGTGTGAGCGTTTGAAACTGAGTGAAGAGAAAATGCAAACTCACGGTCACACTCACTTTCAAACCCATACTCATACTCACACTCAAACACTCACCTAAGTTCCACACTCCACTTCTATCCACACCCACACCCACTCTCGGTCTTACCTTCTTATCTTTGAAAGTATAAAAAGAAATTAAAATAAAATTAGATGCGGATTTATACTATACTTTTATTCATGATAGTAGGCTGAAGGATTTTTACGAATATTAGGTCTATTATTTTCATAGTTCTACTTTCTAACGTCAGTTTTTTTATAAAATTTTGCATGAAATATATTTCTATGAAGCTTATGTCGATCGCTTTCGTTTTTTCAAGAGATATGTTATTTCGCTTAGGGCGAGGGTGAAGGAAAGACAATCATATATACCCACATCTCAAAGCAAAACAAATTAGATGTGAATACACCCCTAAATGCGTAAATACATACCCTGTTATGGAATGATACCTTGTGTGATTGTTAGTAAATAAACTAAGCTTATTTAGAACATTCAATAGAAGATGATCAGAACGAAAAACAAAGAAAAATCATTATCAAGTCTAAGTCCAAAGAAACTTAAGAGCAAGACGTAGATAAGTAAAATTGAATGTATTGTAGATTTGAAAAGATCAGTATCCCATACCTTCACCTGTTCGAAAACTGGATAGATAGTTTTCTTCATTGAAACAGTATTTTGCACATTCAACTATTAAACTTTGAATCTTCTTCAATTTCTCCTGAGCCTGATCGTAATTAAAAAAAAAAACTTAGAATATTCTATGATTCGAGTGAAACACATATCGGAAAGTACTTGATGCGGATTAGTATCTCTAAGTTTAGGTAATGTAGTATAGTAGCCTACTTGCTCGTTATGTCGAACATGATCAGTGGGAAGTACTCAAAAAATTTCTTCATAAATCAATGTATTTTTGTGCGCCACGTCTCAAAAATAATCATAGAACTTATCAGAAACCGGATCACTTACGTCGACTTTATTTTTGTTTTCCCACATAGTACCAAGCATCATTCTATTCCCACAGCAGTCAATCATTAGACTTCAAGTCTTTGAAAAATCAAAACAACATAACATACGAAAATAGTCTCCTACGCCAACTAGAACAAATTTTTGGACTCGAACCGGTTGACCATTAAAGAAACAATCTTCTTCTTCTATATCACTTATCACTATACTGAATTCACTGTCACGCGAATCGAATAAAGAACGATCGTTGATATTTGCACTTCCATAAATTGCAATACGATCATCAACAATCATCAATTTAGAATGAACATAGATAATCTCTGTTACCTATGACAGAGTATCGGTGTGGGATGTGGATGTGGGCGAAGAGAAGATCAAAACCCATTGCCACAGTTGCACACACACTCACCAACCCACACCCATACGCACCCACACCCACACCCTAGGTATGTTCGTGCAAATTCAAGTCGTTTTTCTCGATTTACTTTATTTACATATGGTTTTTTACGAGCCACTCGACCAAATAAACCACCTTCATGAGCTCGTCGACGAATTGTTGTTTCTGAAATGTTAATATTAAGATCGTTTTGAAGTTCAACTTTCACAGATAATGATAATATACGACGATTTGCTTTGATTTTACGTTGAATTAGACATCTGTATGAATTGTCGTTTTCCGTTTTCGACCTCTGCCAATGATATTTCCAATACACTTCGTTGATTTGTACTTTGCAATGATGTAATGAATTGAAGTACGTGGAATGAGCACTTTTGTAACTATATCACGTTCAGTATCGCCATTTAAGAAGTGTTTAATAACGGTTTGTCGTAAATCATTTGAATGTTCCTTCGTTTTCTTAGGAGCCATCGTTAAATCTGTTTTCTTGACTACTT